CACGTGATAAACTATATTTATAATGATCATATTGTGACCGGGAATCTTCCCACGGAAGATTCCCGGTCTCATTATGAATGACCGGGAATTTTATAATTCTTCACAATTAGAAATCTTTATAAGGTTTGAGATTATTAAAATTGTAAAGCTGAGCAAAATTGTTATAAACTGTGCAATTAATTAAATTGTTATAAGCAAAGCAGAAATTATGATCGTGAATTTATTTAATTTTGGTTACATTATAATTGCATATATAATTAAGTATTAATTATATAGTATTTTAAATTATGGCATTAAACTAATATTAATGTTTATATTACTGCAATTTTCGATCGTAATATTGGGAATCTTCGCTTTTTTATATCTCACACCAGAATCGATCTCATTATTAGTTTTAGCTTCGGATTTATTATCAACTTTAGTTTTGGGTTCATTATTGACATTGGCTTCAGAATCGATTTCATTAAATTTACTGGAAAGTAAATCAGATGCTTTGGAAAATCCTTTATTAATATAATTAGAAGTAGAATCCTTTAATGCTATATGAGAATCGGGTTCTAAAAAAAAATAAAAAATTAATATAACTTATAAATAAATAATATTACTATATCTAATATTATTTTACCTGCTTCTTCAATTGGAATTAAAAGAGAAACATTATCTCGTTTACGTTTTAATGATTGATGCTGATAAGCTGAAACTCCTGCAATAGTTTTATGTCGAGAAAAGATCATTTGTTCATCTAATGTAACACCCAATTCTACAAGATTATGAATACCCGTAGATCGCATAGAATGATTAGTAATAGAACGGCCTTTAAAATCCAGCTTAGCATCTTTACAAATATTATGCATCATAGTATCATGCGATCCTTTTCCTAATTTTGATGTTAAATACCAATCACCATGATATACTTTCTTAGGAGTATTTATTGAAACGAAGAAATAATCATCAACAACATTGTTTGGACGTTTAGATAAATATTTTCGAATGTCAGCAACTGGGGTATAAATATTTTCTGAGATATCAGGTGGTATTAAACTACTTCCAGATTCCGCATATGGATCTTTAATTCCTCCTGCATGGTTTTTTTCTTTAGGCAGTTCAAGCAACATACCACCATCATCTAGTTCTTTAAGCCAAGATGCTTTTAATCTTTTTGCGTCTCCACCTCTTAAACAACATAATAAAGTTAACCAGATCCAAATTCTTCGCATAAGGCCCTTTGGATTATCAACAGCCGTAGCAGGTGAATTTAGTATAAACTTAATTTCATCAATTTCTAGTGGACTAGATTGTTTACGATTTTTATCACCATCATTAGCAAGTGATTTCATGCGACCATCTAGTGTTCTATGTAAACTTTTAAATTGATATTTATCAAACAAGTTTACAATTCGTATTTCTTCAAACATATCAGATATTCCTCGTGCTATAGCACAAAATCCAGTATAGAGTGATGTTGCCTTATATTCCTGACCGTTTGATTTTCTTACTTCAACAATAAACTGCCCCAACTGATCTGATAATGTTTTATTATCCAGTTCAACAATTTCATTTGAATAGTTACGTAATTCACGAAATTTTATAAACAAAGACATCCATACATTCTTAGATTTGTCAGTATTTATATTTATTGATGCTTGTTGAAATTCAGAAATCACTTCTTTAGTTGTTGAAACAAATCGTGCATCAGTTTTTGACATTTTTTTTATTAAGAGTTTTAACGAAAAAAAGGTTCAGCGAAAGAAAAAGTTTAACAAAAAAAAAGTTCATTAAAATAATCATTATAAATAGTTAATCACAGATTAATCATGATGACATGTAGTCAGATTAACATCTAGTGACACGCTCCTGGGGATTACCTATTTATTTCCTGGGGGGGAAATTATAGCAGAGGTTACTGATGATCATATCACGTGGGATGGCCCTTCGGGCCATCCCACGTGCTATGATCATCAGTAACCTCTGCTATAATTTCTACCCCCCCAGGAAATAAATAATAC